ATTTACAGCAAAACATGAAAAACTTCCCTCAGAAAAGTTTTACCCAAAGCCTTCCTTCCATTCCTCTCAGGGTCTCGTATTTCTTATCGTGTTCAGCCTCATTCATGCACCGATCCATGTCCTGGTAATAATTCACTTCTCCCAGATGTTAGTTTGAACCCCCCCCTTCTGCCCCATGGATACTCTCAGGATTCAGGTTTAGTAACTTATCAAAAGGATTAAAATGTCTCTCAAATGGGGTTTGAATTAGTCTGTTAGATATTGTGCAAATAACTTACATAACAGTCACAGAACAACATTTTTCATAGCTAGCATGGGACAGCAAAGCTAAACTGTAATTAGAATGTAACTCTGCTCACCACCTTTCTCCACATGTGAATTTGTCCCCTCCATATCAGTACACACTCAGCAGTAAAACAGGAGTTCACTGTGAACTTTCAGCCTCAAACCGGTTCCACCTTCTCCACGATAGTGGAGACAGTAAAAGCCCTGATTACTGCGTTTGCTCGCTGTTATGTGGACAGTTTGAGAGGATCATCTATGACTGTGAGGAATGAACCCACAGGTTTAAATACATCAATAAAGGGAAGAGGAGAGAACTACTGAAAGGTTATAGGCTGATATGACTAGCAAATAACAGAAAGGAAACTTTAAGAAAGTAGATGTGGGAAGTGGTTTATGTTTCTTCTGCAGGATGTGAAGCAGTAGGCACATCCCATCTTCCACTCCAGGAACATTAATGTATACATACTTTTAATATTTGTAATTTATCCATATTCTATTCTCAGATCTATATTTTTTAAAGATTCTACTTTTTAGTTTTATATTTTCTGTTCTATATTTTTATTTCTACATTGTATTTTATTGCTTCTCATAGAAGTGTTGTGCACCAAACACCAAGGCAAATTCCTGTAAGTCTAAAAACCTACTTGGCAATAAGCCTTATTCTGATTCTGATTCTGATTCTGGAGTTAATGTGTATTGTGGGGAAGCTTTTTACTCTAACATTCCCCTTCTTTGCTGCTGGCTTTGCTGCTTGGTCAGGATGTGTTGCATCCTTTTGCCTGGTTAAAGCTTATTGATCCCATGTAGGATATTCTTTTTACAGCAGCCATTTTGTCTTTTGATAGCAAAAAAAAAGAAAAAAAAAGAAAAAAGCACCTTGAGTTGTGGGGTTACTGAGGGTCCACTGGCCCCAAAAATGAACTATTTTAATTCAGAAATAATGAATCTTTCTAGGACAAAAGGTCCCCAATGGAAAGGCTGATTTACCATCATTAGTCAGAAAAAGGAATAAATGACAGTACTGACGTGGCCTGTGTTATCTTTGACTAATCAAAATGTTTTCTTACCAGTTTCCTGGTTACCAACATTTGGTCCTATTCTCATTATCGAGTAATAAAAGCTAAAGATGCCTCAGTGACTTGAGCTGATAGCTAACACACGATGAATGATTATTATATAACAGGACACACCCATTTAGATGTTTTGAGATAAGTTTAGC